CGTACTTTTCAAGGAGTTCATCTATTGGTTAGAAGCTAAGAAAGAGGGCTTAAAGGAAATAAAGGCATGGTTAGATGGGTATTTTACGATCAGCCAGGATCAGGATGTCATGTTTTAAAAAAAGTTTTTAACCAGCTAACTTACTTCAAAGGGGAAAAAGAATTGTATGAAAAAGAAAACTCTTCAGTAATACACAAATACGAAAACAAAAATTGGAGTTCCCCTTCGGGCGCTGAACGCCGGCCCTTCCGAACCGAAGCTCGGAAATGTAACCACTTGGCTGCAGACAGGCTGCGTTGCAGCCGGACGTGTGATAAAATCCCCGATAAAGTCGTGCATTGCAGCCGGACCGGCGGTTTAGACCGTCTGCGACGCAGGCTAATAAATATCAGCTCGCAGAAAAACAAAATAAAAACAAAAACGAGAGAAAAAAAAAAAAAAAAAAAAAAAAAAAAANGGAGACCAGTTAACCTCGAGAGAGTTGAAACCAAGATCGTATCCATACACCCATGGAACATAACCGGGAACTAAACGATAAAGAAAAATTCCGTTTGATACAATTGTAAACACAAGCTCTATTAAAAAAAAAAGAAAAAAAAAACAGAAAAAGAAGAGAACTCACAGCGAACCTAGAGTGCAACAAACGAGCAGAAAAATAGCAGAACTCATTCAGCGTTTTTTATTATAGCCTAGCGCGTTTATAAAGTATGCTTATTTAGTCCACTGTTGACTCTTATCTTCGCAACGCTCCGGAACTAGAGATAATCAGAAACGCTCAAGGAAGCCGGGAGGGAATAGGCTCGATTACCAGCCGCTGTTTTGGGAAATGAGCCACCGCTTTCCCTTAGTTTCTAAGAGAAAACACCTGGGAACGAAAATGATATGCATTGTCATTTGGCATTTAATTGCACAGTGATGAGAATTGATAAAACGATTAATAACAGAATATTGTTTGATGGTGTCTTTTCAGAAACGAGGACCTTGGGGATCCGATTAAAATGGCAATATTTCGCAAGTAAATTCACTAATTGAATTTCAGTTAAGTTTTGGTAATGGAATGTGAAACTGAGTAAAAGAATTCAGCAATACCACAGGTTTTGGGCTTGTAGAATACACGGTTTTATTATTGTAATTAATCTTCCTTATTTAAGTAAAAAGTACGAAAGCAAAGTAAAAGTCTGAACGCATTCTGCCTAGGTGTGAACAACATGAAACGGAGCTGAACAAAAGCGTGACTACATTTAAATTTTAATTTCAATTACGCAGTAAAATTTGCATTCGCCATACGTGATTAATGATTATCTCGCTCACCAATCAACGGCGTGTGTTGAAGCTTTTGTTATCTCAAGTGCCTCGTAAACTGCCAGCGCTTGGCGAGTGACAGATCACCCATAAATGAATACCTAATTTCTACATATTTACACTCAATATGCTGGCTGTGGATTCACAGAGTTAGGGACTACAAGTTGGTAGAGCGGCGATCGCACAAATGGCAAGCTTTGTACGACCAGATAAACAGCCTGAACCAGATAAACAGCCTGAACGACAACAACCTCGCTTGTCGAAATGGGAAAAGGCCGATATTCGAACGGAAAGACGGGTGCGATCGAGTAAACATGAACTCTTACGCGAAAACATTGCCGACAAACTGAGATGTCCGCTGTGTTTCTGCCTTCCATGTGTTATCATAGTCTTTATTCTTCTTATATTGATTGGGATTTACGTTGTCCAGCCGTACATACAAGGTAAGGATGGATATCGTTGATCGTTTTGTATCAAGTGCACGCGTTTGTCTGTCATCGTCAGGTACTCGATTTTAGAACCGTAAACATTTTCGCAATTTGCAAGGAAATAAGCAAGATATAATGAAAGCTATGTAAACTTAGACTTCGAATAGACTCTTCAGCCAGTATTTACCGCGGGATTACTGCAGTGTGTTCACTTTACACCGAAACTTGCCGATTTTCACGATACTTTACGCTTCACTTTCCACTAGATCGTCCCTATTGAGTCGATTTAACCTCTGCAAGTTTGTTGATAAATTGAGTTTTTGTCCGAGTTCATTTCCGCCGCGAGATAAAAGCGTGCTGTTTGGCAGGATGTGATCGAAGGCGACGACAAACAATTAGTTCAGTTAAACTGTACACTCTCTTGAGAGTGCATCCACTTGAGATTTAATTAATTCACATTTTTTAAGCAGAAATTCAATTTATAAGTATCGTTTCTACGAAGCTTATTAGGGAAACCCATAAATTCCTTTCATTCGCAATAACAACCAACTTCACATAATGTTTCGTGGGGTTTCACCTCAAGACCAGCTAAACGCCTTGAAACTGTAATGCGATCTTTTATTAAGTGCTCTTAATCGCTCTGCTTCGGGCAATATTGAATATATAGGTTGACAATTCGTACGGGCCGGGTAGCTCTAGATCGAATTCAAATACTTCCAAATGTTGGCGAAGGAAAAAAATTGGCAAAAATTTCGCAAGTTCCAAATTTTGGCAGTGGTCGCATCAGACCAACATGTTTGAACCAAAACGTTACTGACTGAAATATACGTGCCAAGATCTATATTTCTCGATAAGTTATTTTCTCGCCGTAATTTTATCCAGACATGTTTTAAAAGTACGACAGTTTAATGGTTAAAAAAACAAAAAATTGTTTGCTTTGCCAAAACTTGGAAGCCTCCGAGGCAGCGCTTCGGCTTCTTTGAAGATTGGCGAAATTTTGGCAATTCGCATTGGCCAGTTTTTGAAACTGGGGTTTGCACTTAATTTACGCTACTTGTTGACAGATTTATTACTTATACAAACAAAATTGGCTCTATTACGACCACCTTCATACATACTCGCCAGTCCTCTTTGTATATGTGTAACGATGCCTTGCAGCTAATTTTAATACTTTTGCTAATTAATTATCCGCGCCGCAACGTTGAAGAGCTTGTCTGGAAAGATATCGGTGTTGTCTACAGTGCGGAATAACCCCTAGTGGTTTCTACGTTTAGTGCAAGTGAGACGAGACTCACAAGGGAGTGAGTGATCAACAGGGCAAATACTTGGGTCACAGGGAGGGGAGGTGAGGTATCCCCTGAGGTGTTTTCACTTACTTATGATTGGTGTATTTCTGTTTCTACACAGGAACAGGATTAGTGTCTACGTATTGCCGAGTAAATCGCGTTGAAACGTTACCAGAAGGTTCTTGCAGTCACCGGACACATAAATATTATCCTTGTACCAAAATATTCGTAAGTAGATGTTCTGTAGAGCGTTAACAAAAAACTGACCTGTGTGGAGAGGAGAAAGGAGTTGACTTTTCAGTTTCCTCGCGCGTGCCATGTTATGTAGACTGGATAAACCTGATTGTTAGTCATGAGTGCAGGTTTTTCTTCTCGGTCAGGCAAAAAGAATAAAGGCGAACCGAATCGGGAATCAAGTAGAGATCGCTTTTCAGTATGTTATATATGAGTACCCATAGTTCAGTGGTTTTAGAACTGAGGCCCCCTCCACACTACGCCGGAGGAATTTGAAAACGAAGGTTTCACTCTGAAAACGCATCAAATGTTTTCCGTCCACACTACGTCGGAGGAGTTTAAAAACACGACAATCACCGGCCATTTCGCATTTGTGTTTGAGGAAAACTTGGGCGGGGAAATCACATGATCACTCGATGAATTCGTAAATCACTCGCCTGCGGCTCGTGATTTACGAATTCTTCTCGTGTTCTTCCAACATCCCGCGTGGTTTATCAGCCTATAAACCATAAAAACTTGTGGCCTACTGCTTGAATGCACTTGTTTTGTGCACGCCCTAAGATATTAGTACAGCTCAATTTCACCATGAATTAATCTCTGTAGGTGACCTACAATGTTACTCAAACAACAGAGTTTGAAGCAGTTCTCATGGAAAACGAGCAAGCTTTAGTTCACTGTGAAAAGGTTAGAGAAATGAAATTGGTGTTTACCTAATGATTCATCAAAGTTTTAGGCTTTGCTGGTCGAGATACACAGCTTAAAACTTTGACAAATCATCATGTAATTATGGGGAAGGCTGAACCTACATCAGGACGAACTTGAGTTTATTTCTCAATAGTCGGTTATAAATGCTCATTTCGATTCTTCCTTTGAAACAAGTTCCTAAAGGTATCCCAACAGCAAGATTTCCAGAAATCAACCAAAGCTGAGTTTTGCTCAAAAAATACGAACTCTATGTTTCTATTTTTATGCTCGCCACGATAAGTCTGTCTCACTTCCTATGCCTATAATGGTTCCTGACGTTTGTTTAAAATTGTTCTTCAAATCAAGCTAACATTGCCGGATTTCCTCTGATCTAACTCCTAAAAGTCCTACTAAAATGGGTGACATTTCCCCCAATTACTTGTGATAACAAATAACCCTTATATTTGATCTTTATTTTTCAGTGTTCAATGACGTTTGGTAACAGTGACCTGTTTGGGAGATACTCCACGTGCGCTTGGAATTCTGACTTGAACACTACAGAGTGTGCTAAAACGTATATGCGGTTGTACGGAACGGTAATAAAAACTCTAATATGATAATACTGTACCTGACATTTGAAACACAGTGGTAGTCTCTGTAGCTCTTGTTGCTCTTTTAGGGAGCTCAATCACGGTATTTAGAGTTATTTTGGCCGGGTGAAAGTACCTTTTAATTGATGGAATCAGTCCTGAAAATGGCAGTTTACTAAGGCAGAAAGACACCAGAGAGATAATAATAAACCATAAAGGAACAACGATGTTCAAAAAATTAACGAGAAGGTTGACACTGACAAACGACGAACTTGAAAACTTTGGGCTAAACTTTTTAAGATGCGAAAACCGATACGAAGCTTTTTTAATAGTTTGCGGGCAGAAACTTCTTTAATCTCACTCTGTTTGTTTGAGTCCTGGGATCGAAGTTAAGGTCTCCTACATACCTTTGCTTTGCGCATGCGTGGAAAGGCAGAAGATAAGGGACGTTTTCACGCAGGATACTTGCTCTTGGACCGATGACAGAGACGCAGATGTCGTTCAGTCGTCAAAACGCTAGATGTTCAGACCGAGTGGGTGAAATATTTTCAAATCTTCTGTAAAAGTGGCCGCCTTCCTGTCCATTTCCGTTCCATTCCCAAAGTAGGCGACGCTGATTTCCGTTTCGTAAACGGTCGATGCCATCATTGATAACCAAGCCTTTCAGAATGGACGATGCCATATCTGCTTTAGTATAGGCCTGGACATTGTAGAAACTGGTTTTAATTTGTTGATTGAGTAAAACGCATTCGTCAAATGCTTGATTGTTCATATTTACACTGGTTTGCTTGCGGTTAGCTTTTACTTGATGGTTGGGAAACTCTGGCATTAATATTTAAGAAAGTCAAGTTTTATAATTTAATTTTGCAGAGATTTGGTGCATCAACCTGGTAGTGTAGTGGTAGAAGAGGGATGTTAGGAAACAGAGGTTTCGGGTTCGATACTGGGTGGATACTTACAAATTTTCTTTTTTCTTTAATTTCGTAGAGAAAAATTCGTTGATAGTTAAAAAATTTCTAAGTGTCGCGAAATTGGCATCGACCGTTTACGAAACGTACAACTGCGTAGGGGACTCGCCTCCTATCGTATCTTCTTGTTGTATTAGAGTAACTTTGAATAATTCTTTGACTCATTTTTCCTCTGATTTTCTTTTCAGGCTAACAACACATTCTCGTGTTATTATGATCCTGAAAACACAGAAAATGTCGTCCGCATACTCAAGGTAACAGTTTATTCTGGAAATGCCTGACCCTCCCCTCCCCCACCAGCTGGTTTACTTTCTCTTTCTCCCACCCCGTGATAGGCAAAGAATGGAAAAGATATTAGAACCGAACAAAACCAAAGAACAACAACAAGAAGTTATTTTCGGAAACCAAAAGTAACACATCTACGATCTTCTCCTACTCAAGGGCCTACAAGGCGAAAAGCCTATCAAGTTTATATTTTCAAAACTAAATTTACTTTTTGCTATTCTCTTTGACAGCCGTTATTGGAATCGTCACGCAACACACATTGAAGTGTTGCGTGACATGGCCCGAATAACGGTTGCGAGGGAGCCGTGTACTTTACTTACTGGTTTTCATCTGACCCAGGTCTCAACAGTTGAAGCAGTCTCTTTGATTCTCCTTCCCCTATTGTTTCTGGTTCTGTGGCTCGCCGCTGTTGCGTTTCTTATCTACGACAATCATCTCCGAAGGTAAGTTCCGCTGGTTGATTCATGTAATGGGTGATAAATAGGAGCCAAGTGCTCCTTTAAGATTGAATCAATCGTCGATTAGGGTTGTACAATACAAGAGTTTTCTTTTAACTCCATCGGCTAAGTAAGATTCCCGTTAAGTTTCCGAAATTTTTTTTATCCAATCAACGAACAGCGGAGGAACTCTCGAGAACTCCGAAAACGGTGCAATCAGTTGCTTAACCTCGGTATTTGCCAGCGGGGGTTTAAGGAAACCATTTCAGTTCATCCAATACCTCACTTTCTTATATTTTAACCAATCACACTGCGAGTTTGCTGCTACGATTAGGAAGTAATGTTATGCAATTTCTCTTCTTGCTTTTAGCATGATAGACGTGCAGATCATTCAAGAGAACGTTCAAGCTAACAAATATCCCAACAGGAATGGGTTAAGGAACGGAAAACCACCGCTGGGCAAACTTAATGCTGGAATAGATCTAGACACATCAACAGTGGCAAGCGAATCCACGGCGGTCAGCGTCAGCACAACACCACACACGCGCAGGAGAAGAAAGAAGAAAATGCCTTGCTCAAAACAACACTATCAATTTAACTACCTCGATGAAGGGATTTTATTGGAGGATAAACCCCTGTCTAACACACAGGACCACCCCTATAGTTACAGTTTTGTTACTGTGGACACTTCACCTGTCTGTACATGCCATCACAATGGATTCTTAGAGGCAGGCTTTGATCTTTTGCCGCAAAGGGATTATTTTACGCCGGTATTTAGTACACCAAGCCGTACTCCGAGGTATTCTAACCAGAAGGGACTTGTTTATTTACCAGAATCGTTTGTATAACTGCTCAGCTCAAACTGTCGCGGCATGAAGATGTTTTGTTTACAGTTCAGATTGTATGCGTGGAAGCAGAGTTCCCTTAAATTAAAGACTAAAAAACTCCAAAAAACTAGAAACTTCCCATCTTGCCATATTCAATAGTGTACATGGCGAGTTTTTAACATAACTTCCCTAGGTAACAGAGACTGTTTTCCCGTAAGTCACATATCAATAGGTGACGTTCAGAGACAATTTTATTGACGAAAGAACTATTATCACTAATATAATCTAATCAAGTTTGTTTCAAAGTGACTTGCGACCGCCATGTAAAAAGGGCCATTTTAAGCCATTTTTGATGTAATAAAAATATTCTACAAGGACTCCGTGGCTTTGGGTGATGAAGACAAGACTATTACCTCAAGGATTCATTGCCCGGGGCTATCCCCCGCTACTGTTCACACCATAAGTCCCCCACCCCCATGAAAGTATCCCTACAAGGTTCAGGGGATGGGAGGGCAGGGGAGAGGGGTATACACCTTGTACACGTCCCTTTCCTGAACTCATTGAAGACAGAGCCATGTCATAATTTAGCCAAGTCAGCTGTTGTTTAATTGGAAATCGATCATCATTATAGTCATAAATAGAACTCATGACCTTATGTACAACGTTTGAATAACTTGACTGCTGCATGCTGCAAATTACAAATAAAAGGCTGCAAAATCGCCACCCTAAACACTGGTTTTCACTAGCGACAGAGTCGTAGTCGGAGTCGTAATCAGAGGAGTAGAGCGATAAGATCTAGTGAAAATCAAACCGACGGAGTCGGAAGCAGAACACCCATTCTGCTTTTGACTCCGTCGCTTATGATATAGTAAAGACTAGATTGTCGGAGTCGGAAGCAGAAGCGGAAGAATAAACCAATCACAATGCACGTTTCCCGGCCTTGTAATTGGTTGGTACGTCTGCTTCCGACAATCTAGTATTCACTGGATCATAAGCGAAGGAGTCGTAAACGGAATCGGACGAAATGGAAACGTTCTGATTCTTCTGACTCCGTCGAGCATAACTCAGCTTACGACTCCGATTTTCGATTTTCACTAGGTCGTAAGCTCTCTTACGACTCCGACTTCGTCACTAGTGAAAACCAACCTTCAGTGAGATCTTAACAGAGTTCTACGCACCAGGAAATATGTGAATTACAAAACCATAAACCTCTGTTTGGAACAAGAGGGTTAAACCAGTAATGACAAAACAAATTAAAAACGAAAATTGAATATCTGGAAACTAAGGTATTCTTAACTGATACAAAACAATAGTGACAGATTTTCAGAAGATTTGATACCTTTGTCGATATTCAGTTTCACAAAAGCCTTCAATTCAGAATAATTACAAGAATAAATCTTCATATAGACTTTAAAAAAATAAAAAGGGCGGCTCGCTAGGATAACAAAGGAAAAGAAAGGAAGGTGGGGCTGAGAGGAAGCCAAAGAAGAAGGTAGCTTTTGTACCAGCGGGTATAATATCATTGTTCTAGATGAAAAGGAAATGGTTGGCTTTGTAAAGAAGCTACAAGTTGGAAAAATACGTTAGCATAGATAAATTACATAGCATGTATAAATTATTTCAAAGATGCTAACGAATGGGAACATCCCTCATGTAATGTCCACTAACAGGTGAAAACAAACAAAAAAAAAACCAAAAAAAAAACCAATATATATTTCAAAACCATGTAATTCCTTTGCAATATAAAACGTTCTGTTTCACTTCACAGGAGAACTAATATCAAATAAAATGGGAAACCAACTAATTTTCATTAACACACACTAGTGATCATAATGTGCTGCAAATTCTTTTGTAAATAGAAATCTGCCTCCTTAATCCAAACGATTTGATAATTCCTCTNAGTTCTACGCACCAGGAAATATGTGAATTACAAAACCATTAACCTCTGTTTGGAACAAGAGGGTTAAACCAGTAATGACAAAACAAATTAAAAACGAAAATTGAATATCTGGAAACTAAGATATTCTTAACTAACTGATACAAAACAATAGTGACAGATTTTCAGAAGATTTGATACTTTTGTCGATATTCAGTTTCATAAAAGCCTTCAATTCAGAATAATTACAAGAATAAATCTTCATATAGACTTTAAAAAAAATAAAAAGGGCGGTTCGCTAGGATAACAAAGGAAAAGAAAGGAAGGTGGGGCTGAGTGGAAGCCAAAGAAGAAGGTAGCTTTTGTACCAGCAGTTATAATATCATTGTTCTAGATGAAAAGGAAATGGTTGGCTTTGTAAAGAAGCTATAAGTTGGAAAAATACGTTAGCATAGATAAATTACATAGCATGTACAAATTATTTCAACGATGCTAACGAATGGGAACATCCCTCATGTAATGTCCACTAACAGATGAAGACAAAAAACAAAAAAAACAAAAAAAAAAAACAATATATATTTCAAAACCATGTAATTCCTTTTTGCAATATAAAACGTTCTGTTTCACTTCACAGGAGAACTAATATCAAATAAAATGGAAAACCAACTAATTTTCATCAACACACACTAGTGATAATAATGTGCTGCAAATTCTTTTGTAAATAGAAATCTGCCTCCTTAATCCAAACGATTTGATAATTCCTCTCGATTCTGCCGTCTCAAGAATTCAACATATCGGTCCGTGGAATACAAAGTGAAGGCTAACTACAACAAACATTCGTTAACTCCACAGACCACGGGCTCGCCCACCGGGGTGAAGTTCAATGAGATCGAGAGCGTAGGCCATAATGAACGCTAGAAATGCTACAATCCCAGCCATAACGTAAGTCCACTGAAAAATATAAAAGAATAACAATCTAAAACACAAGTATCACAGATGACCTGTACCTCTTTAAACCTCTATTTTGATTCGTTCTTGTTAATCTGCACCCATTTTGTTCTTAGGGCTAGGGAGCATTTGTGTTCTTTATGTATTGTTTCGTTTGGCCAATTACAAAGAACCTTGAACACCGTTGCAGGTCGCCCCAAGTATCATTGCAAGGGAGGAGAAGACACTCAGAAGAACGGTAAGGGAGGCAATCGAAATCCAGAGCCAGGCCCCAGCCCTCAGCCAATATCGTGGTTTTTTATGATTTCAGAGCTGTTTTACTTATATCCTCTTGATATGACAAGAAGTTTCAGGCGTATACACTTCTCTGCTTTTAGATAATGGCTTTGTGGACCTGAAAAGTTTCGGGGGCTTTCGAGAAACGGGCCCTGCACCGAGACATTTTGTCACTCACGTGACATCTACATGTACCGACTCTTCAGACCAAGCGCGTATCAAGCCAGCTGTTCTTGACAGCTCATCCAGATTGTATGGGAAACAATCAAAAACAAATCATAACTCACCAGTTGTGAATTAGCGTCATTAAGCTGTTGTATATTCTTTTGTGCTTCCTCTTGGCTTTTCTTTAGTTCTAATTCAGTTTTCTGAAGTCGCTCTTCAAGCGCACTAGCCTGAAGTACATAAGACAAAAAATGACATTAGAAACAAGAGAAGAGGTCAAACCGAAATGATAAACAAGAATCACACCCAGTTTTCCAGTTTGTTCAGTTATAATTTCAATTGTTTGATTACGATGCATTACACAAGAGCGGTTTAAACTGGCCATGGGAAGTAAGGAAGTATGGAAAGTTCCATGAAGCTAACTTCTGTAACTCGCTTTGACTACCTGAAAGAGGGCCAGGGGTAAATAATATGCCCTTTTAGGGCAGCCAATCAGGAAACATGAAACCAATCGAGACTTGGCTTACAGACGTTTCCCGCGCTTGGCAGCCGTTGTATGTTTTCCGTGCTTGGCCGCCGTCACATTTTTCCCGCGTTTCACCTGCTACATGCTTCTCCGCGGTTTCCCGCGCTTGGCACTGGTTGCCTGTTTTTGTTTCTAATTGGTCGCTCGCTTGGTACACGTTTTTCATTGGTTTGCTAGCGTTTGCGCTGATAGGCCAGGATGCGATTACTTCAGAATCAGTTCACTGACAGTTATCAGAAAACTCCAGGCATCGTGAATTACTTCACCAGTTTATAGAGACATGTAAAAAACACAGCTTGTTTACCTGATTTTCCGTGAGCTTTTTCTCGGTTATCTCCCTCTCGATCTTGCCTTGCAGAGTTGTCTGTAACACACACAAAAAAAACAACAGAAGTCAACGAGAGGGAAGTACTACCTGTGCTAAACCAAATAGCTAATATGGACCAAAAACACTGGAAAGTCTTGGAGCCTTCACAAACCTGTTGTCTCATGATTTTTTCACTTAAAAATTTGCTCTGGTTTTCGATCTCACGGTATGTGGCCTGTAACCGAGATTGGTCGGAGGACAAGCGGTTGTTTTCCCTCCGATATCTGAAGGAAAGGAGAAAATAAATGAAAACATGGCTAAACATTCAATACAAAGAGGGGTGAAGCGAAAATAGTCGCGGTACTCACTTTTTCAACTCGCTTTCCAGGGTCTGTATTCTTTGTTTTAGGACGCGATTATCTTCCGTGACTGCACTCAATTCCACTGCAGCAAACAAGCAAAAGAATGGCGATCAAAATCAACCTCCACACCATTTACCCGTGTCTTACAAGTTTTNAGCTCTAAACAGAGTAGAAAAAATCCTGAGCCAAAAATCGCCGTTCTCTTAGCTCTAGTTCACACCAGCGACATAACGACATGAACGAGATAACGACAAAAAGCTTATGTGAACATCGACATAAAGACATCAGGTTTTTTTTCCGTACGTCGGGATGTTCACACTGCAAACATAACGACATAACGTCCATCTTATGTCCATTATAACACCAGTGTGAACTAAGCCTTACTCAATAACAAGTCAGTCAGCATCTTTCCAACGTGAAATCCCCAAAGGAATAGTTTTGAAAATGTTCCACCTGACTTTAAGCATGAATCAATGTGTTATATTGGAACAGTTGAGAAGACATATTGGCCCTGACTGTCACGCTTTGTGAACATTACACGCTGATGTAATAAACAGTAATTATTTACTAACCTTGCACATGTTGTGATTCCTCGTGCTCATTGTCGATAATTCTGCCAATTTCGATGAATTCTCCTAAATATTAAGAACAGTCCAAATCAAAAATGAAATCAAAAGGAAAAAACCAAATCTTTACGTCAGTAATGTTACGCAATTTCTGTTACCTTTGATGTCTTGTACATTGTGTAAACTGTCCTGCAATAATTGCCTTGCATTTCGTGGTTGATCTAAAACAGGAAACAAACTCGAATGAGCTTATATTTGCTGTGTCATTGTTTACATTTTACCATTAGCATACAACTTTGTGAAGAGAAACATCATGTAACAAACAAATTGACTACAAACAGTTTAAACTAAGAGAGTTGTAAAAGTTAGCAATATTTACGCGGATATCGGCTTTCATTGGCCAAATTTGGGGGGCAAATGAGCTTATCAATCAAATTTCTATTTTTTATTTTTCAAAGGGTTATGTCACGATAACTATTGTCATGTGATTTCATGTCACGCTATCGTGTCTCCAGTCGCGTAATACCTAAGTCGCGCTACTTGAATTAACTCTTGCGGCGTAAAACAAAGATACGAGGATCAGAAAATAATAGTTTACTAAGGTACATCACTGAACAAAATATGAAGCATGGATGGTTATGACTACCATATGGTGAGACAAAACTTTCAGACTGAAATTCGACAAAGACAAAACTTCAATGTTAATCCCTTACGGAGAGGGCCTTCTTCATAACGTGACTTGGCACTGCTGTTACTATTAGCAATTATTTCATCATCGTCATCATCATCGTCAGCTAAAAAATAAAGCAAAAAGTTAACAATCAAGGAAGACTTTACACAAAGAAGTGAATAATTGCTAACCCTTTCTATTTTGGAACAAAGCACTGCCATTAAACCAAAAGGTTTGGAATTCTCCTGTGTCGTTACCAGCTCAAAAACACAAAGGTAAAGAAGCTTGAGCACAGCAAAAAATCCTACCCTTTTCTCTGCAGTGTCCAAAAGGTCATATTGTTATCACTTACCAGACCACCTGATCATCATTAGGTGTCTTTCTTCTGCCATGGTCTTCACTTCACAAATCCGATCTAGGAAAGATAAAGAAACGTAAATGTTTGGCAACTTCGAAAGCGTAATAAGAATACTAGACAAGTGTATCATGGTGGGGAAGGGGGAGAAGAGGGGAACAGGGGAGGTACCAAAATGTACAGTTTAAAGTACCAGGGTTGTTCAAAGCCCAATTGAGCTAACCCAGGATTAGCAAGAATTTTGATTTCAGATTTGTAACCTTTTGGTGAGGATTATAGTGCATATTGTTTGTCCTTCAGATTTGGGTTTAAATAATCTCAAACTACACAAAACATACCTGTAAGCAGTGAAAAACATTTTTTTTACCGAAAAATTAACACTTCAGTTGACTCTTAATTTTCGGTTAGCATTAAATGTCTTTTGAACAACCCAGCCCTGGCATAGAAAAATTATTACGACTGCAACCTCAGTCAATTGTAATAGAGCGGGGTGAGCCTGAAATCTCAAATAATATCTTTTCTATACCTGATGTGCCTAATGATCACTACAACCACAAAAAAGACTGTTTTCTTACCATGTAGGCGCCTGACAAGATCCATCTCCTCAAATGAGTTCCTGCCATCCAACTTCACCATTGCATGGTCACTATGATCTTGATATAAAACACATAAAATCATATCACTACTGCCGTAATTTTTCAAGTTCATTGTTTGTAATCTGTGTTAATCTTCTCCATCCTTAACCATCCTTCTTTCTCTGTGATTTAGTATAATTGTCTCTTTGGTGTTTTTCTATCTTAAACTGCTATTTTTGGGTTCCCTTCAAATTTCTCTCACTTTGTGCATCTTAAAAAGTTTAGCCTAAATCTTTCAAGTTTGTCGTCTGCAATTCATGTTAATCTTCTCAATCTGTAACCATCCTTGCTCCTTGATGGTTTACTTTTTCTCTATGGTGTTTTAATATCTTCATAAACTGCTATTTTCAGGTTTCCTCAGCTTAAAGGCAATTTTTGTATGTGGCCAAAATAACTCAAATTGCCGCATAACTCATGAACAACCAGCATTAAAACCGCACATAAATTAGCAATAGAAATTATTTCAAACACTAACATGATATGACTAGTGTTTACCAATCAATGTTGAGGAAAATGAAATATTTTGCAATATTTACTTGTAACTGGTTGAATGGCATCAACATGGTCTCCTTCTTCAGCATCACTATCATTTGGAATAGACAACTCATCTATGGCTTGAAGATGATACTCCATCACTTGCTCTGTAACAAAAAGAAATACCTACTATCAACCAACCAGTCCAACCAGTCTACTAATTGTCCACAGTTTACAGTATGGCAATGTTTGCGTCAGACCAGCGGCCCATACAGCTCGGTTTCTGTAGCATGAATGACTTCGAGTATTTCTACTCCCGCTAAATCAGGGGTTTCATTAACATTTTCAACAGGAGGGCATCTGGTCTTCACACGCAGGCAAAGCTATTTGAACTGAACTTCTTTATAAGCAAAACTTTCCTCTAGATGGTCAGACCAGGTGGACAAATTCATCCTTACAGCCGGTCAATTTGCCTAGTCCCTGGCCCTCAATGAAACCCCTGGCTAAATATGATGGCAAGTCAAAATAGGGTTATGCCTGAGCATTGAAGATTGTGGACTTTGCATGTTTCCCGATTTATGGGATAAATCAAACAATTTGCGTGTAGTTGATTGGCTCTCAGTAGTGACTTCCTGTATAATTGGGCTGCTACCGCTTTTAATATTCGAAAGATTTAAACATTCAAAACAGTCAATTTAGCTCTCACAGAATGACTTTGTGATACTTCTAGCCTTAGTTTGATGTCAAATGAATCCATCTTTCATAACTAAAAATCGAGTTCTGCCATAAAGAAGTCCAATTCTGACATAGGTCAGGTTACGTAGCATGTCAAGAGATGGCATGTCGAAAGATGTCACTTATGTATCTAACACTGAAAGCAGGTTTAAATTTGCTTGTACAGATTTATATTTGTAGGTGGAGAGAGGCACTGTGAGAGTAAAGTGTCTTGACCTTGACTAGGGCTTAAACCTGGACCGCTCGATCTGGAGTCCAACATGCTAGCCATAGAGCGCTTCGAAAATAGTTTACAAACTCTCAATACATGAGAACTGTTCTATGCGACTACCCAATTCTGGAGAACTTCACTGAGTTCTGGGTTATGAAAGGAAAGAATGCTGAATTATGTTATTTTATATTACAAAGGTTTATTAAAAGGCTGCTAAGTGTGTGCTTACATGTATCTGGCTTGATTTCTGCCACTCTCTCAAGTCTGGTATTTGTTCTTCCTCAAGAGAGGAATGTGGCTGGTTATCAGAGCAACTACTTATCACAAGAAACAAGTTCTCATGTGAATTGTTTTATAGGATTACAAATATAGTTTTCTTTAAGCTGTGGTCATGAGTGATATTCAAGTCTGATTAGTGCCGAGTAACAATGTTTGTTTGGTTACAGAAAGATTTTGTAAGTGATAGAAGGGAACGATCAATATGTTTTACCTTCAAGGGAGTGAATCTTCTCCTTGTCCTCCAATGCACTTTGTTGTGATTTCTCTAATTTTTCTAAAAAGGGAAGAATATTACTTCACATTAGCTTTCCAATTTAACCGATTTTAGGGTGAATACTTTAGTTCTTTCAAGATTAAGGCAAGTACAGCATCACATGGAAAATGTACAAGGAAAGAGAAAGTAATGTCTAACAGGTGACTGAAATGAACCTGTTCACATTAATCTATAAAATTGTTGAAAAAACTTCTTTGTCTTGGCATGGGCAGAGCCAGACAAATTAATAAGTGTCAATTGTTGTTTTTCTTTCTATAAAGCTAAGATACTTAGAGTATGTGAGTATTTTTCTATTTGCTTATCAGTTATAAAAATTATTATACTATTAGGTGAGAATTGAATTATTTACTTCATATTTACTTTGTTCATGTAGTTGATTTTGATTTTGTGTAGCTTTTCTTGATAGTTCTAATTTTCCTCAAACATAGTAGCATTGTGTAGCTACATGTACTCTGTAAATTTGAGCACAAATAAAGGACATCAAGGTTTTGTATGTATGTTCATGTATGTACATACAGTTGTACATGCACATGTACCTTTCAAGTACACTACTTCACTTTGACTTTCTTTCTGTAGTCGTTTTGTTTCCTCTATTTGCTCTGTTGAAACATTGAGCACAACTTTATTAGGTCTAACAAATATTTGACTGAGCTGACATAATCTATTACTCTAATTAGTGACTAAATACTTATTTGACGAGAGTGAGGTCTTTACGGGAAAATCTCAAACCGAGACCTTGCGGTATAGACCGAGCAATAGCGAGGTCAATACAGCAAGGCCGAGGTGTGAGATTTTCTTGTAATGATTGAACGTTTGAGGTTAATAAGTTGTTTAATATAGACTGTCTGCTTTGTTTTTGCAGGCCCGTAATCACCCCACAGGCATTATGGCAGAATAATGCCCTAGAATTAGCAATCAAAGTGCATGTTACATGTATATCGGCTACAAGCACAAGCCATACTGTTTTGAAGTTGAAATGATGTGAAATCTTTGAATATTCAGCTTAAATTAATGCCCGTTACCTATAAGTGAATTCAGGATCTTCTCCTTATCTCCAACTTCACCCTGAAGCTTTTCAAGTTGAACTGTGTATGAAAATGAATTGTTGGTAAGTAAGTACAGTAGAAACCGGTTAATCCAGTCACCAGTGCCAGGTTGTTTTTCTAGTCCGATTAAGCTAACCCAGGATAAGCCAGAATTTTGATTTGAGTTTTGTACCTGCAGTGAGATTTTCTGTTTACATTGTTTGCCCTTCTGCTTTGAGTTTGAATAATCTCAAAATACACAAAACATAAGCAGTGAAAAACACTTGTTTACAAGAAAAATTTATACTTCGGTTAACTTTTAATCATGGGTTAGCATTAATTGGCTTCAGAACAACTTCAGAACAACTCGCCCCAGAAAGCCACAAAAATCTGGCTTCATTAATGGGGTGACCGTATTAAAGGGGTTCTTTAAATAAGAAAATGACCTAGCTCTTATTTGGGCCAGAATAAAGTGGCCATAATAATGATGTGGCTGGATTAATGGGGTGGCTGTAAGGCAGGGTTTTACTGTAACACATGCATTGCAACATAACATAAATTATCCTGAATTTCCACTAACAATAGCTAACCTTGTAAAATCTTCACATCATCTGTATTGGAGTAATCATTATCCCTCGGTTCCTCCAGCACTGTTGCATTTCCTATGAAGATAAAAAAATTTAGACAACACATTGTTGACTGTTCTCCTCAGAAGAACTGTGAATCCATAAGATGTCACTTTTCTACACATTAATATTGAAAGGCCTTTCATAAAGGCCTCTCACTGAAATGAAAGGTCTTTCATAAATTAAAAGAGAAACGTTTAAACATTTACTCAGCATAAAAACAAACAGACTGTAGATAAGACATACACGTATATGTCACACCAATACTGGAGGTCAAAACTCCAACAGCCCTGTAAACATACAGTTGTACTTTGCAGGAACACAACCAAACCTACCGTCAAAGTTGTCTGGCAACTTTTCCAGTTCTCTCGTTCCATTGACATCTACAGCTTCTATGACAGACTCTTCTGTAAAAGAACCAAAACAACAAAAGGATAAGACTATCATCACACTGTCACACACAAAGCTACCAAGTGAAAACATGTATGAAGAGTCATTTCTAAAACTTACAAAAACAATCATCATAAGCAAATGGTGCCTTGTACAATTCTTTTTTTATGAATTTTATCAAGAGTTTTTTTAATTGTAATATTCATATAATGTACTCTTGCTTATTGACTATAAATTATTATTGACTATACAGATTCTTGAATATTTGGTCTTTTTCCAAGGTCCACTGTAAATGAAGTTAAGTTGGACTGCATCATTTCTCATTAATTAATGTATGCCATACATCTGCACTGTTTTTTCCAAACATTCAGTGGTATGTCAAGAGAGTAACAGTTTACCCTCAACACCTGTTTGCTTGGCAATAATTATTTTTTGGTCTTGAAAATTAACATTAAAATAGTGACAAGAGAACCAGTTATCAGTCTTGTCCTTTAGAAAAGCTGTAACTAAGACACACTAGCTCAGAAGTCATTCTCACAAACCCCCACCCCAGAATTTCATCACTTACAGTACTTCTGTAATTTGGATTTCCTCAAAAAATTTCCAAAGACACATTTTTCAAAGAGACTTCACTTGTGCATCAAGCAAGTGAAAGACAGAATATACTTGTAAGCCCAACTAAAAATACTTATATAGCCTTAGGCTATCAGACACACCTTTGTTTAGACATTGTAAGTCAGTATTTTTTTGGATGTTAATGTACAACTTCGAGGTAAATAAGGATATTTTTTTACATCCTACAGTTTTGAGACTAAACAGCTGACACAGACAAAATGATTTGCAAGCCACAATAAGAATATACTTTATATGACTGTCATTTAAACTTACAAAAACCACCAAATATTACTACATTATCCGTGGACACCACAATTTGCAGGTTCTTTTTATTCTAAAGAAGAATTCTAACTGTAATTGGTATCACTAAGTAATTTTTTTGTGCCAACTTTTTCAATTAATTAGGTTTAATTTTATTAGTATTCAAGTACCTGCTATAAACCTGCTTTGTTTACTACTTGTACTGTAAACTATGCAAATGAATTGTTTTTGAAGGATTCTAATTTCACAACTTTCTAAATAATATAACTATTGGAAGAGAGTAAATGAAAGTAAAATGTTATTTCTATTATCAACATTTTTTTCCAGTTCTCTCCGGTAAGAAAATTCACATTTTATAGTGCAGTGGCATGATTCTGGTTTCCAGATCAATGACATGAGAAAATTAAACCTCACTTCTGAGTGGATGTTCTTATCTTCTAACTACTGCAACATACATGTACATGTAGCACAGATTTAAATTAAATGAAGATACATTGTGCAATTGTTCCATTAATTAAATTATCGATGGAACAGAGAATTGAACATGAGCAAAGAGCTCAAGGCACAAATATGCAATTGATGCACATAAAGTTAAACATGATATTTTTTATCTTTCAATACAACATTGTCAAGATTAAAATATTGCACAATACAACAATAAATCAGCCTTCTTAAGGTTCAACTCCTGCAGTTCATATCAAATGAATGAAGACATCTTAATTTCACAAGGCAAGCAAATAACAGCTGAATTTTCAACCTACCTGATAGGTAAACAAACCAAAAATAATACATTGTTTCCCTTGCTGGATCTTGTTGAAAATTAGGGCTTTGTTGTTGATAGCTTAGCTTAAAACCCATGAAGGAAACTGAAGTCTTTAAATCCTTCAATGTTCAATGCAAAATATAAAATTTATATGACCTGGCTTCATGCCATACTGTTCAGTGACCACAGACTGACGTCTGACTAAACATGTGGTTATGGTACAGTTATGAATGCAGAATTCATGCCAAACTTACTTAAGACAAGCTTCTGAGTATGGTACTCAAAATATGCCAATATGATGCCAAGTGGAATGGTAATGAGAATTTTGAAAAATAGTTGAATGGGAGATCAAATTTTCACCACTTAATTGAAAGAACTACAGTACATGTATGTGACAATCAGCTGAGGAACTAAAATGGTACCAGGGTTCTTACAAAAAATTGCAAACTTTCTTTACTGACTTTTCAAGGACCCATGCCAGAAATGCAATTTTACAGGTGATAATCAGAATCAACATATGCACTTTCCAAATAAACAGGTTTTTAAGGCTGTATGTTTCGGCTCCATGTCAACATACAAAAGACCATAAAAAATACAAAAATTACCACTTGCCAATTTTGCTGCCATTAACATTTCCATTTGCATTTGACCTGCCTTAATATCTTTTTTGTGTCACAGTGTTTGTAAAATGTTTGACATCAGAAAAGAAGAATACCAAAGTTAAAACAAAACAATTTTGCTATTGACTTTGGAGAAAATTCAAGGCCTTTTCAAGGACTCTTCCTAAAATTCAATGACTTTTCAAGATTGTGGGAACCCTGAATTTATTGCATTTCTCATGAATGTACCTTGTAGCTGGATGACGGGGGACTTGTATTCGTTACTTGGCTGATGAACTTCACCTTTAGTTTTTTCCATGTGAACTAAATGTGGACAAAACATACCTCAGTAAGAAAAATAAAGAGCAAAGTAAAAATTCTCAGTTTCTTCCCACCTCAGTATTCCAGAATCAATCTTCATATAGATAGTTACATGTATTTTTAGTCAGCTATAACAAAAAGCACTCTCTTGGAACAGAACACTCAAAGTTCATCACTGTGAGAAGATACACTTTGACCTGCAAACTTCATGCTGATAACATCAGCTCTAAAAAGACCTTTGTACATGTATGGCATATAAATTATTTGCAAGACGTCTCTCTGTTGCTACATGAATTAATCTCTTTTAAATTAAAGCAACATGTCATTCACCTTTCATTGCAGTGACCTGCTCTTTTGTAAAATCACATTCTGCCTGCAAAGATTCTGCCTGCAGTAACAAAGGGAAAAATGTTCAGTTTCAGGACAAAATATGTACAAAACTTTCATAGTCCTGTATTTGACAAGCTGCATTATTTATTACATGAACACAGTGAACCAACCTTAGCAGCTAAGGCAGCCTCACGAAGCTGTGCTTCTTTAATTCTTATTTCAAATTCTGTTTTCTCTTGAACAGCCTAAGAACCAATAAAATAGGATTGCTTTGAACAAAGTAATTAAACGACAAAACGAATGAACATAGGAACGGAGACAAATTGACAAATGACAAAGAATGAATGAACAAATAAAGAATGAATTCACTGACTCTCTTGACAAGTTTACTGGATGAACTGACCTTATGATGAATTGAATTGAACAGTGGGACTGACTTACTGAGAAATTTATAAAATAATGCAAACTGTTGACCTACATGTACTGACTGATTGACCAACTTTCTTGTCAAATGTGGCTATTGGTATTCTTAGAGAAAATTGTAATGGTTGCTTTCTCTTGAAATTGAAAGGGTTACCTTCATTAATATGTTCTAAAACATTACCATACACTGTAAATGCACTTGGATTGTTTGGAAAGGAAAATGGTGTTACAAGCATTTGTTACTGTGCAGTGAGACATATTGACACAACTGACCTGCCCTTCAACGGCTGAGTGTCTCCTTTCTGCTTCTTCAACTTGATCATGAAGACTTTGCATCTCTTGTAATCTCTGTCAAGTTATGAAATGAAAATGATGCTGCTGATGACTATTATAATAATGATAATCTAAATGATGAGGAAAGTTATAATGATGAAGATTGCAGTATACACACTGCATTTGGCCGGAGGTCGACATTATTAGCGAGCATACACACTAGGTAATTTTACTTTATATTTTGCAAGTGGTTGGTATGTTGCCTAACCGGCTGTTATCAACCTAAAAAAGATGATGATGACAATGTCAGGGCTCGAAATTGCGACTCACTGGTCGCCAATGCGACCAAAAATTGAGCACTGGCGACTCGTGTTTTATCCGAAAACTAAAGAAAACCACAACACAAGTTTTGTTTTTAAATCTTTATACTACGAAATCAATCAGATACGGTGGCCAGTATACAACTCACCTTTCTGTCCCCAGTAAAATAATGTCTGAATATTACAAGATATTCAAAAAAATTGAATGTATTTCGACACGTATGTTGATACTGCATTCACAGCGTGCCATATTGTTTCAGTGGCTCCTTCCGAAATTGGGATCGCAGGCGTACTTCAACACCGTGTGCTTTTCATTTGCCGTGAAAATGGAGGCAGTTACCAATCAGTTGAAGGAATTACGTGAGCGAAAGGTGTCYAGGAAAGCAAGTCGAAAATAAAGAACGGCATTTCGAAGAAGTAGCAAAGGGAAAATACGCAAGGACCCGTGTTTGTCTCACAATGAAAACCACAGACTTGAAACATTTTATGCTTCGCTTCATTTAAAATGACTATGGAGACAATCATCACCAGTTCGGACCAGAGACATATCACCTGAGAACAATGGTAGCTTTATAACTAAAGTGTTACTTGTGTTGTTTCTACTTATATTGTTTTCCCTCTTCAACTGTGACTTTTCTTGCATGCAAAGTAACGTATAAAATCAAGTTCTTGTGTAAGTTATAAAATAAGTTGGTGACCAAAATTTATGATCTGGCGACCAAAATTTTTCCGTTAGTCGCCACCTGGCTACCGAACGAAAAAGTTAATTTCGAGCCCTGGATGTGCTTTGATTCACATTAAACTGAATACATGACAAATATGACCACAAATACAATGGTAATGATGACAACAATGCTGCTGCTCATGGTGTTTATAACTCAATCAACAGGAATGTTTGGTGAATAAGTGCATCTATAACATAGCGTGTGCGCTAGTCCCACCTAATTCCTATTGTTTAAGTTTTGGCAACAATTGAACAATCCAAACCCTCCTTCGAGCCTTTGACTTTTGCCAAGCTAAGAGATTTACTATAACTTGAGTATTTAATTGTCTACTTTTTTGTTGAGTATTTTTACTTTGTTTGCCTACATTTTCATTATAATTAATTCAAAGGAGTGAAGTTTTCATCGATCGACAATTTTAGAAACCAGGTTTAGCGTTTTGTTTAACTGTTGCTCAACTGATTGTGGCATGTTAGGATCCTCATGACCTTTGTTTTCCTTCACCATGCATTGTGAGAACTTAGTAGTCAATCACAAATAAAAGATGTTTTAGCATTCAATGTGTTGTCGCCATGTTATAAAAGAATTGGTGAATGCTTTAAGCTGTGCATATATCAAGTTATGGATGCACTTGGGAAATTTAGAGAGCACTCAAGAAGCAAGAGTTGCTCTCGGCTATCGCCTTGAGCTGCCAACTTTTACACTTCTTTCATGCTCTGCAAACTTCCTGTGTGCATCCATAACTCAATACATGTACGCTAAGCACAAACCAATTCTTCATTAATATGCTAATCCCAAGTTTTAACACTTGTTTAAAATGAATCGTGGTGCAAATCATTTCCTATGAAAAGTTACTGTAGTATAAACCAGACACACATGTAAAGAAATAGTACAGAAATAGTCTCCAAGAAATTACTGCAAATTATTGAAATTTAGACTGTGCAAAGACATTTTCAATACCTGCTTGTGCTTTTCAGCCAAGTCTTTTAGTTCCTGCTGCGATCTCTCATATAAGGATTTGTAATGTAGACATTCATCTTCTGCATTGTTACAGGATTTCTGTACAGTGTAAAATAGAAAAACAGTCATATACCGTACCTCCAAAACTATTTTAACTGTATTAGGTCACAAAATACTTATTACTTTCATCTTTGGGCAACAGTCCTATATGTGATGAAATTTCAGGGCTGAATATTCAGGGACATTTAAGACCTTGGTCTCATCTGTTAACTTACTTCTATTTCAGTTAATTTTTGGATTGCTTCGAGCTTTTCCTGTAGAACTTTTTTCAATGACTCCTGCAAGAAAGATAAAATAGACATAATTTACACTGAACTAATATGTGTACATACATGTAAGAAAGAGAGGAGTTACCAAAACTAAAACTAACCAAGTGTAACTCTGTTACAATTAGAAAACTCCGATTACAAGAGTCCCTTAGCCTGAGACAAGAAAAAGTGTCTACTTAAAACAAGTGTCCACTTATGGGGAATAAAAATATAGCATTTGTATGACTTGGACTGTAGTAAAATATCTCACATTGTAATACCTCTTAGTTATTACGCGTGCTATGATTGGTCATTTAGTGAGCTGTATTCCACTGTATGGCTCACTAAAATTTAATGCAAACTCCAACTCAAGGTAACAGGGCTTGAAAAAAACTTAAATTCCAGCTTGCCCTTAGGACAAGTATCTCTCAAATTACTCTTTTAATGATATAGTTGGTGGAGGACTTGCAATCCCTTGCCCACTGGGCAAGTGAGAATAATTTAATAATAAAAAGTTACTTGCCCAGAAAGAAAATCTATTTGTCTGGGACAATGGGATGACACTTTTTTCGAGCCCTGGGTAAATGTGGGTAAGGTAAGAGGTCTATATTTCCAAATAAAACTGTAATTGAAACAATCATCACTAAAAAACAATAACGAACCCCATACCCTAAAGGCCATTAAGGTTAATAAAATTATCAAGGAATAAAACTGAAGAAATCATTACTGGTTAGAAGAGGTGAAACAAACACATTCAAGTACCTTTGCTCTCATTTCATAATGATGTCTTTCCTCCTGGAGCACAAGTAGCTCCTTTTTGATATCATCGTCATTTAAATTCTGAAAAATAGATAGAAAATCAATCATTCAGTCAATCTCTTCATTCCCTACGCTGAATAAATTCTTGGATTGAATTCTAGTAATTATTGCAGATACAAATATTGAAAATCACAGTATTGGAATGTGGAACACTGGAAAGGCAGGTTGAAAATACTTGAAGGATTCTCAGAGTCAACTTCAAGAATGATTCAACAATGTACAGATGCTGGAAAATGAACACCATGCAAAATAATGGTACAGGGCTGGTGAGAGGGAAAAACAAAACCATTGTACAAACCTGGCTCTGACCTTTGATAAACAACAACAACAACAAAATCTACCCAGAATTCCTACGAATAGAAAGTATTGCAACAACAATGCTAAAACATACAGTAGTACAAGAACCTATGAAGGTTACCTTTGTTAGAGTTTCTAATTGGTTTTCTAAAGTCTCCAATCTCGAGAGTAATTTGTCCTCTTGAGCAAACGTCTACACAAAAAAAAATTAATAAACGTGGTTATGATCCAAGGTTGTAGTTTACTGACACTGATGTACATTTGATTATACAGATGAAGTTCTCCTTGTGACCACTCTAATAAGTAACCAGCTCACATTATGACCACCAATACATGTCTGAAACTTGTTTGAATTGTCACTTAGACACTGTAACTGGACACTCTTGTAAAAGTCGCCTCCTAAAGGCAATCACAGCCATTTGAGCTTTAACTGTAATTTCACTTGATTCTCTTTTTCCCTGAGTGGTTCATTTCTTTTACATGTAATCCCAATTTTGAGAAGGATCTATATGTAATTAACACCAGGGCCATATTCTACAATTATCTTGTTTACCTGTGTGTTATCTTCCACGGCTGCTTGTGAGTCTGATAAAAGTCTTTGAAGGTTTGCCAGCTTGTTTTCAAGCATTTGCTCTCTATAAAGTGCATCCTACAGAAACATGATGAATGGGTTAAATAAATAAAATTTCTCACCCAACAAATACTCACAACATACAAACGTATACATATATGGTTGCCAACCTGTAAATATTGAGATAACTGCCACATTTCCTGAGCTTGAATGCCATTTTCGTTCTGTTTTGAGAAGAAAAGAACCAGGTTAATTTTGACCTTGGAAAATGCAACCAAGGGTACAGGAGATTGTAACATTTAAATTCATATCGTAATCCAGAGTAAAATAGTTCAGTGAAGATGGCAATACATGTAGAGCTTCAAAACAGGCTTTCTGTAGACCAGATCATAACAAAAAAGCTTTTGCCTTAGGCAATACGTGGATGCATCTTGTAAAATTGAATCTCTCTCAAATTTTCTTGAAACCAAAATACTACACTAGCAAAGGGCAATTTGTTTACTTGAGTGTACATGAAAAAACAAATGTTTAAAGAAGGAACAGTTTCTTTATATGTTGTTTCTACTTTGGTAAAACATTGTTTCTACTTTGGTAAAAAAGTTTATTAAAAGCTATGTACATGTACATGTAGATCTCTTTAATACTGAGTGTCATATTTAAAGCAATTCAACTGTTACATTTTTGACATTTCTAACATACCAATGCAAACAAGCTTCTTGGAACACCACTTCTGCAAATGAAATGATCATACCATAATCAGTGTACAGGGGCTCCACAGTAAATTAAAGCTTAAGAGTGCTACATGTATGTTATAGCCAGTACACATGCAGTATGTTAAGTTCTGTACATGTACTAAGTAAGGTATAACATACAATTTGCAGATCAGAGATTTAAAGAGCAACACGCAGTAAGGAGCCAGGACTGTCAATAAGGGCCATAACCCATAACACCTGCTATGATGTTATGGGTGAACTTGCCTATAGTTGATACAATTCACTCAAAGGGTAACAAGTTTGTTACAGGTGTGAAGATCAAAGTTACATGTACAGGTGATTCAAAACTTAATGACAGCCTTGCAGAGCAACCCCACCTTATACAATGTACATATACTTGTAAGTAACAATGAGCCACAAACTTGCTTGGTTTTCAACCTTATTTTATTTTGTGGTAGTACTTACTTTGTTGCCTCTTTTCCATCAGGAAGGAACAGGGTTACTGTGGCTACAATACAGCCATGGGTAACTGTACATCAGAAAATAAAAAATTTAGCTTAGATTGTATAGGCACAGCAACTAAACAGAAGTACTAAGATAAAAAAATTAGGTGTCACAGGGCTTGAAAAAAAGTGCTGTCCGGTCTACCAGGACAAGTAACCTGGCATTCTCACTAGCCAATGGGCAAGTGATCAGGCAAGTTGTCTCCCAACTAAGTCTTTAGAAGAGCAAACTAAGACTTGTCCTGGGTAAGTAAAATTTGAAAGCTACTTGTTCCAAGGGCAAGCTAGAATTCAAGTTTTTTTGGAGCTCTGTCTCAGAGTAAAGCGATCTAAATGTATGCATGTCGTCATGTTCCCTGTGGGAGATTCCTGCCCAGAGAGTACTCTCTTTACAATACCTGTTGATGTTTTTTTGCCTTTTACCTTAATGCTTACAGGTTTAAAAAGATTTAAACTTTGTATTTCAGTGCAGCCTACATGGACAAGTGTACATGCATCAGCTTGAAGTCAGAAGGGGTAAACACACAATAGTCAAGCTTATTAGCAAACCTTTTTTCGAGTTTTCCACAACATCTACTCCAAACTGAACGATATCGCCAGATTTAATCTCCTTAGGTTCACTCTCTTCTGAACCTTTACTGAGTCGCACATTGTTTACAAAAGTTCCATTGCTACTTTTAGTGTCTTGTAAGAAAAACTAGAAACGAAACAGATTAAATAATTTATTATCTACAATGTATCAGATTGTCAAATCACTAAAGATCATGTGATAAGAAAAACAGCAAAAATTAAGGTACAGCTGCAGGTTCCTTAAACCAATTCAAAGGCAAACATGAAATTAGAGTCACACTCAGTAAAGTGTCTTTGCAAGAACAAAAGCTACACTCTACATGTATGCAAGTAAAGAATAAGGAAATTAGATTCATTGTACATTATATATTCTCAGACCAAGCTCACAATTTTTTTTTTAAATTGAGACTAGTTCAAAGTCTCAAATATTAATTGGATTAATTACTGTTTTCCTTCACATGATAGGCAGGTTGAAAAATTGCTGAGAACTTAGGAGGGTTTGTGGTGTTTGCATGATGTTATGGCTCTGAGACTGGACCTGAGAAATTCTATACTTGTGATTGTGCTTCACAGAGGGACCAATGTGGTAATGTTAGTGTCTCTAATATCATTTTTAATCGTAACATGTAAATCACAATCAGACAGAAGCATGTATTACACAAGTGTCGCTCCTGCTGTCAAAATGGAATTTAGGGACAAACATCAGACATCTGTTTAGTAAGGGGTTAATTGTTTTTTTTTGTTTTTTTCCAATATGTACATGTGCGTGTATTACCACTTTATACACCGGAAACAAGACATGAGAACCAGGACCCTGTTTAATTAGGGGTTGATTGGGGTTTTGGTTTTCTTTTTAATATATAGATGTGTTGCCACTTTGCACAGGAAACAAGACTTCAGAGCCAGGGTCCAGTTGTTCAAAGAAAAGATAATGCTATCCATTAGATAAATTGTTATCCAGGGGATAACTGTTGACAAAACAAACTATTCTCTCCACTGGATAGCGATTTATCTAGAAGTTACATGTAGCATTATCTGTCTTTTGAACAACCAGGGGCAGTTTCAGTACAGTTCTGTTTGCCTTTGCCAGCAAGACTGTATGCTAAAGATATGAAATTCTGATAAATTTTGAATGATGTCAAAAGGTGCTCAATTATATTTCTATCAGTGATGCTATAAATAAACCAAAATGAGAAACATTTTATCAAAGGTCACTCCATCTATACAATTTTATGTGTCATTACAAAATAGGGAAACATGAGAAATAGATGTGATTTTCACTCAAAATCATTAATGGCTAAAACTTATAGATTTGAAATGATCTGCTTACAACTTCTCTTGAAAGAAAGTGAACACAAGTACATGTATCTTTTAAATCTTACTTCAAATTAAGAGTTTAGGCAATGTATGACTGTACAGGATTTTGCACCAGAGAAATAATACATGAATGTTACAACTTGCACGCGTACTTGTATGAAAACTAAAATTCATCTGAACAAAATGTATTTACTTTACATTAACAAAAGCATTTCCGTTTGGCGGTTCAGACATGTTTGTTGACACCTTTCATAGCAGCAATGTAGGAGGAATAGGAAGCAAGGATTTCAACCAAATATGGCAAATCTTTTTCCAAGGTATTACTAATTGGTTGAACCATTTGCAGTGAAACTGAAATTACAATGGAAGAACAAACACGAACACAGAAACGAGTGAGCCAATTCGTGCATGTCATATCATGCAAGCAGTTGAATCTTGTTATCACATAAACTTAGGGCAAATTCCAAAACACATAATCTGCTATTGTGGAACCGGTTAATCTGACGTTGTGTGCACATGATTAAGTTCGTTGATTTTTCCAGAATTAAAGGCGGCGTAACTACTGAGAAATTGTCAAACCTTTTGCTCGATCAAAGATCAATACTGCAGCAAGTCGTAAGCTTATGTGACAAGAACAAAAATGATCCCTACAAGTTTTGTTTCCGGAAAAATTCTCACAGTAATTCATATAATAAGAGCCCTTGAAATGAAGATTAATTTACTATCTTCAACGCGAGACTCGCTACAGCGACAAGCCTTCGTACAATCATCTTTTTGTTCAGCGCTATGATGACAACACTGTCAAACGACCTTCTTGAAAAGGTTTGGCCCTCCATTTAACAGCTGAAGGGCGCCTGATCCTATACTTTAATCGATGTCATAGATTTTAAAAGATTTCTATTAATTTCTCATTACATGAACGAACTTTTCAGACATCACAAATAATTTCTTGAGGTAAACATCACATTTATAATGAGCCATAGAGTCATACTAACCTTCCCATCTTCATACCACAAGATAGCATGGTTTCGGGACAAGACCTTGCAGTCGAAGATACAGTTGTTTGTAGCGGGCCTACTTTTCGCTACCGAACGTCCTATCTTCACTGGTTCCGTCAAAGGAACTCTTCTCTCTTCAAAGGGATGAGAATTAGGCCGGGACGTGAATACTGCCATCGCCATTTTACTGATTTCATGTTGTTCTTCGCGCCGACTACTAAAAAGTACGTGAGAAAGTTGACAACTACTGCGCATGAGCAGTGGGGGGACGACTCGGCAACTGTCACGTGAGTTTGAAATTCTCTCCCCTCCCTACTATACTGAAATGGGACGTGATATTGTCCCGGGATGGGCTAGGTGGAAAAAAGGAAAAAATCAAACCTCGAGAAAATAAGTCCACTTTTCCACATACTCAAAAATTATCCCATTTCAAAGCTTTTGAATAGTGAAGAAAACAAAAAATTACTTCAACCAGGAGCAAGCAAAAAAAAAAAAAAAAAAATAACAAAGAAGAGTAATTATACAGTATAAAACCAGGAGCCATAAAACCAATTGAAAGGCTGACCGGACGGCTGAAAAGGGTAAATTTAATGCCCAACATTTTGGTTAGACGGGACTAACCTTCTTCGGGAACAGATTGGGCGTTAAATTTACCCTTTTCAGCAGTCCGGTCAGCCTTTCAATTGGTTTTATGCTTTATTTTACACTGCTG